GTCCCCTCACTCGGCGGCGCCGCCGGCGGCTTGTAGGACACAAAAGGACATCGCGGCCGCTTCCTACTCCGCTTCCTCCAGCTGACAGCGGGGGCGGGGCCGGCCGTGCGCATGCAAAGCAGGGGGCGGGGCCAGGCGCCCTATGCTAATCAGACAAGAGAGGTGGGTAGCGCTGGCGTGCCGGGACGGGTCGGGGCGGAGTCGGCGGAGCCAGCGGGCAGGACTTCGCGACGGTCCCGCCCGCAGCCGCCCAGCCACTGCGGCGCCCTCGCGTACGCCGCCGCCGAGGGGGCGTGGCCAAAGACGTGAGGGGCTCCGGGAGGGGGTGGGGCCAGGGCACTTACGTAGGAAGGAGGCGGACGCGCTGTGCGCGAGCGGAGGGGGCGAAGTCTCTTAGTGGTCGCGGCTGCTGGGCAGGCAGACTACATACATATGTAAATCAGAGGGCGACGCTGATGGGGAGGTTCTTTATCTGCATATGCATGAGGGGCGGGGCCTATCAGCCCAAGCTAAAGGGTAGGCTCAACCCCCTTCTCATTTTCCCCTTCCCCCAAGTTAACAGTTTTCGGGACGCTAGGACCGCTGACCCAGTATCCCCACAAAGCCGCGGAACTCGGGGTAGGAGAAGCAAACCTAGAACCTACAAGAAGTCCTGGATTTCGAGTCCCGGGAAGGCAGAACCGATAGGTCCCAGGCGGAGAACGCTCAAGGTCACTGCGGTGACCGAGTGAAGGTCATGGGGAAAGGCGGGGCCGCATACGTCCGCCTCACGCGGGCAGTAACGCACTGACTCACGGACCATGCACGGACTCTTTTATTTTTCTAGGGCTCAAATTCCACGGGTTAGGGTCGGGCTTGGGTCTGGGGATGGGGCTAGAGCCGGGCGGTCACTCGAGACCCAAGCGGTGCTTTCAGTGCGCTAAGACGTGCGTTCTCTTGTTCCGGTGCCTCTTGAGCCCCTCGATGTACCGCTGCAGCTGCTGGGTCAGGATATGGTCCTTGCCGATTTCTGATCGGTAGCCTGGAGAGCAGAAAAGCCTCGTGACCTCCGCGGCAGTGGGTGCTCTGGTGTGTGTTAATTTGGGCAACTTTGGATCTCTTGAGTGTGGGCCCTGCCAGTTTTGCTTTAGACGATTAAGTTATAGATCTGTATTCTGAACAAGCGAGGGACAAGGAGCACGGTGGGTATTGAAGGGGTAGGATGCATGAGGGCAAAGCTAGTGATATCTCAGGCCTGAAGTGGTAGCTGGTGTCTTTGGAGACACCCCCTGGACCACCCACGCTAAGCCATTAGCCTGCCCTCCACCCCACCCTTGCCAGCCCCCACATATATATCCAAAGAAGGACAAACTAGGTGAAGTTTACCCAAATAATCAACTGTCCAAAGGTTCCCCACAGCGCCCAGATTGGGGGCTAAGGCCACACAAAGACAGCCATCCCCACTGAACTGGGGAAGAACCCCTTGGAAAAGCCACATCAGCTAGAGAGGGGCTGCTCTAAGCTTGGCACCTAGGCCCCAGACATTCATCGCCTGCACCCTCCCACACACTGGCTCTCCCTGTGCCTGGTTCCCCAACTTTTTACTTTTTGTGTGGCTGCTGGAATGTTTGTGGGTGTTAAGGGAATCTGACAAGGCAGACATATCCTGAAACCCCACTCCCACAGGTCCAAACCCTGCACAACTCCCCCAGGGTCTCCTGTGGGAGCTGGGGGAAGGGCTCACTCCGGAGGGCTTTGGTGAGGATTTCCAGAGCTTCAGTCTCCATCAGCTCCAATAGAGGCAGCGGCAACTGGAAAGGCAGCAAGAGATTCAAATGTCCAGGGGATCTCAGCTCTGCCCCTTGCTGAAATGTCCCACCTGCTCCCTCCAGCCTCAAGACTCCCAACTAACCTGCCTGCCCCTCCACCTAAAAAGCACCCCCACCCCTAACCCTCATCCACCCCCACCCACTAAAATCCCCACTCTTCCTTGTGCCTCCAACCCTGTTCTGCTGCTCCATCCAGTAGGCTTGATGGGGTGCCTGCTTCGAGTTACTGATCGATAATTCTGAGGAAGACTTTTCTGGAAGGAGAAAAAAGGGGATCCGTCATCTGTAGAGCCTGGGTCTTGGCAGGAGCAGAGGAGACGTATGAGTAGGCGATGTCATGGAGAAATGGACGGGGACGGTGTTCACAATCCTGCGCTTTATTACCCCACCCTCGGGCATGCCAGTTCCGACTGCCCCGCGCGAAGTGTGAGGCTTAGCCAGTCTGAGTGTCTCTCTAAAATGGGATAGTAAGGATGATCCCCTACATAGGTTGTAAAGTTTAAAAGTGCTTCTGCAACGGGAGCCCAGTGCCTGGCAGACAGCATGCGCTCGATAAATGGCAGTTGTTATATTGTTATTGGTTCTAATTCACCCAGGGCTGCTGAGTGGACGCAAATCCCGCACAGTGCCCACTACCCAGCAGGTCCCAAAATTGTCAAAACAGCTAACTGGATCAGACCCCTCCTCCGTCAGCTCAAATCCACAGACAAGGAATTAACCACCACCTCTCCCGTATCCCGGAGGTTCCATTAAAAGCACTGATCGCAGCGCGCTGACTTGGTGCATTTTCGCGCGGTCTCTCCCTGACCCCCGCGAGCCACGCCCACGGGGCCTTGCTCGGCGCCTCCGGTAGGGGGCGCTCCAAGAGTGTCTAGTTGATTGAAAGCGTTGCCCGCCCCCTCCCTCCCAAGGACTCCTAGAAGCTTGGGGATCTTACAGCTCCTCTTTTTACAGCAATAAAAATTGAGGCCCGGGCCAGCCCCCTGCCCCGTGGACGCCCACAACCCGGTGAGGCCATACTGACCGCTCTCGGACTTGTATTCCTCCCCCTCTAAATGAGAGCTTCCCACGGAGCTGCCGTGGTCCAGCTCGAGTTTCAAGGAGGTCTGCTCCTCCAGCTCTCCCTTGAAGATGCTCTTGTCCTCTCCGTCATCCGAGGCTCCCCAACCAACGTCTGAGTCGTGCTCCATCATCCTCTGGGTGCTCGTCTCACTCCTCATGCTGCTGCAGTCCAAGTCCGAGAGCTCACAGACGTTGGACAGCGGCGTGACCAGCCTTGACTGAGACAGCGTGGCCGTAGTCCACAGTTGGCGGATGTCATCTTGCAGGCTGACAGCGCTTCGGCCACGCCTGCGCGAGGACTTGACCGAAGGCTGTGGGCCACAAACAAGGAGGGGAACAGAGAGTCGCTGGCAGTTGGGGAAGGGAGGAAGAGCAGGCTGGGGTCTGAGATCTTGGGAGCTTGAACCCTGAATGTAGGTCAGAGGGTTGTTGGAAGGGGCGGGGGGAGGCTGAGTGAGAGGACGGTCTGGGACCCAGGTGGGGCCTAGCAGAAGCCTGGGAGGGTGACAGGGTGAGGGGTCTGGGAAGAGCTCTTACATTAAAGGACTTCGCCTCCATAGTTCCGTCCCAACCGACCCAGTTGCCGCGGGGCCTCGGGAGGAGGAGTCACGCTCTGGGGGGGGAGGGGCGGGCCTCCCACCTCTCGCAAAGGGGGTCTCTCCCGCGGAGGGTTCGCTGCCATAATCGCTCCCCATCTCCTTGCCCCCCTAAGAGCTGTGCTGCGCGTTGAAGACCCATCTTGCCAGTTTCCATGCCCGACCCTACAGGGTAACCTCGGGACAGAGAAGTCCAGAGGGCCTCCCCCTTGACAACGGGGGTGCAGCGGTGGGCGGGTGTGGGGCTCAGCCTGGGGATGCTGAGGCCTGTCTGATCCCGGATGTGGCCCGACAGCACCCCACACCAGCACCCCACACCCAGCCACTGGTTCCTGAGTCCGGCCGTCAGCAATGGTGCAGGCCGATTTCCTTTATTGTGGGGGCTTTGACACACAGTCGTGAGTGCTAAGAGGGACAAGCTCAGTCCCAACAGCGGAACAGAAAGCCTGGGGGGGCTGGGAATGGATGAAGTGCGGAAAGAGAACCAGGAGCGGGGTTGGCTGACGGGCCTGGAGGCTCCACTCGGGTCGGGAGAGGGTTCTTTGGTAAAACAAGCAGAGCATGCCGGGGAGAGCGCAAGAACCAAGCCCTTTGGGAGAGCCGGGCCGGGCCGGGCCGGGGTCCGTTACACGGCTGCGCCTTTGCCCCGAGGGCGCCCGGGCCTTGCGGGCTTCTTTGGGGGGTTCTGAGGACGGCGGCGGCCCCGAGGCGCGCGGGGCAGCGCGCAGCTGCGCTCGCTCTGTGTATCCGAGGACTCGTCGATGAAGGCCAGATTCTCGCTGGGGTAATCCAGCGCCGAGGCCGTGGGCGGTGAGGACGGCTGGGCCTTCTCCTTCGCCGGGGGCTCAGGGGACCGGGGCCGGCTGCTGGGCCGCGCGGGACACGGCGGCGTAGGCAGGAGAGGTCGCTCCTTCTCCGGCGGCGGGAGCGCGGTGGGCCCCGCTCGCTGGGTCACCCGCGCCGTGACGGTGCCGGTCCAGCTGGCGGCCTGAGCCGTGAGACCGCCCACCTGCACCGGGAAGACAGCCCTCACCAGGGGTAGGGGGGCCCACCGCCTCTGGGCCGGGCCAACCTCAGCGGCCCCACCTTGGTCTCCGGCCACCCGGATCCTCCCCTCTCCTTCGGGCTGCGGGGGTGGGGGGTGGGAAGGGTGTAAGGGCTAGCGTCCAGTCCCATGCTCCCTAATCCCTCAGCACCTCTTGTCCAAGAGCTTTTCTAGAAAGCCCCAGTTTGGTTTCTGCTTGCTCTTGGCACTGGCAGGGTACTTGGCGGTCCCCTCACTCCCCACCCACCAAATCCAGGCTGCCCAGTGAAAATCTGAATTTCAGATAAACAATCAATGAAAGTTTAACGTATGTATGACCCATGCAACATTTATGACCTACTCATATCAAAATATCAGTTGCTATTTATCTGATAGTCACATTTAACAGACTTGCTGCGTTTTTATTGGCCAAGTGTGGCAACCCTACCCTTGATAACAGAATGCGTCACCTGCCAGCCTGAGCCGTACCCCTGCGCCTCAGGCCCACTGGGGCCCTGCCTGCCTCCGGGAGCCCACACTCTGAAAGGGAGGCAGGCTCTTCCACCAAGGGTCCACTGCAGGGGGACAGCCCCAGGGCAGGCACAGCACCCAGACCGCCTACCTCTGCCCGGGTGCGGCGCGACACTACCCGAAGCCAGTTCCCAATAGTGGTGAGCACCGAGGCGAAGTAGGCCAGGCCGAGCAGGATCCAGAACCACACCAGCGGCTGGTAGGCTGCAGATTTCTGGCTGGGGCTGGCGCCTGGGTTACCACCGGGAGGGCAGAGAGAGGCTGGTTGTGGGCAAGTGCAGGAGCTGTGAGCCGCTGTTCATTGAACCTCTTTCCAGCTCCTTGAGAGGACCTGTTCTCACCAGGGCAATGGGTGTGTGCTCGTGTGTGAGTGCATGCAAGAGGGTGAGTACGCGTGCTTGACGTTGTGCAAGAAGAGAGCATGCAAGTGGGACTGCTCACGTGCAGGAAAGTGGGTATGTGTGAGGGTGCACTTCACAGGTGTGAGCACACACGGGGGTGCGGTCATGCACGAATGTGTGCATGAGGGGTGTATCCATGCAAAACGGTGAGGGTGCGTTAGAGAGGAGACTGGGGAGGTGCAATCACACAGATGTCGCGTAGGATTTGGAAGGGAAAACCAGAGTGCAGAGCCCCCGGGCAGGAATCAGGTGGGTAGGGAAGAGCAGCACAAAGGTGGCCTCACCGGCCACATAGTCCCCGAAGCCCACCGTGGTGAGCGTCACTATGACGAAATAGATGGCTTCCAGTTTGCTCCAGCCTTCCATATAACAGAACACGAAGGTGGGCGTGAGGACAAAGAGCAGGCAGCCGACCAGCAGGAAGAGCACGGCTGAGAGTATTCGAACCAGCCCTGGGGGCACGTGCCACTTCTGCAGGGAGAAGGATGGAGGAGTCGCCAACCCTCCGCTCACACCCACCCCTCCTCCAGGCTCTGGCGCGGGCGGGGAGGCGGGAAAGGTGTCTCTGGCCCAGGGCAGGGTGCGCGATGGGAGGAGGAGCGGCTCACCAGGAAGATGGCTTCAATGTGACCAATGCCACGGCGCAGGGAGGAGCCCAGCCGGTCCCCGACCCCTGCCAGCAGGATCCCGAACAGGGGGATCCCCACCAGGGCATAAAAGATGCAGAAGAGGCGCCCAGCATCCGTGCGCAGGGCTGCATTGCCATAGCCTGGCAGAGGGAACATGCAGGAGGTCTAGAGGCTACCTGGCACCCCTACCTCCCCCTGCGAGAAAGCCCAGCCACCCCTTGCCCCCTCCACATGACCTGTCCCCTCCCCCACCGATGGTGGTGATGATGGTGCCAGAGAAAAAGAAGGCGCTGCCCAAGTCCCAGGCTGAGTGGCTGCTGTTACTGGTTGAGTTGGTTTCAGGGTTGGCACCCCCTCCCAGGGCATCAGCCACCTCCTGCAGGACAAGGCGCAGAGGAGGAATCTCAGTCCTTCCCTCCTGCCCTGGCCAGTCCCTGGCCCTCCATTCTCCAGGACGGTGACCTCCCTGCCCCTCAGCGCTGGTCCCTTCCCTCCAGCCTCCGGTCCTTTAGGGTAAACCATTACACACTGGCTGGCCCAATTTTGTTTGCCAACCACTGCTTTAGAAACATTTGAGTTATTGGTGCCCTAATTTCACACAACAGATATCCAGTTTAAGATTCTAGGACCATACTGCCTGGGTTCAAATCTTGGTGGCTGTGACCTTGGGCACGTGGCGAATCTCTGAGCCTCCATTTCTACACCTGCGCGGTGGGTGTGAAGTAGCAGCAGAGTTAAAGCACTCACAACAAAGCCAGCACTGCTGCTCCTTAAATCAGCCCCCAGGGGGTGAATGAGCCTAGCTTTCTGCAGACCCCTCTCCCATTGTTCCTGGAGAAGCTGAGTTAGGATACCTTGCCTTAGGAAATCTTATGAGAGTTAAACCTCCCCTCCAGGACAAGTTTACATCCTGAAAGTTGGTAGCCGGTTCTGGGCAGTTGGTGGAAACACTCCCTGCTGCTGGCCCTGCTGATATTCAAGCCAAAGCCACCTCCCACCTACAATTTCGCATATACTAACAGCAAACTAGCCCAGTCGGCCTCTGGCCGGCCTGCAGGGCCCTCCCGAGTGGCTGGGGGTCAGTGTTTCCACAGTAGCTGCCATCAGTGGTCGGAATCAGAGGAAGGGGTGCAGAGAGGCCCTTCCCCAGGAGCACAGAGCTTGACCACAAAGTTAGTGGGGTGGAGAGAACCTAAGCCAGCCTCTTGCTTTCTAACTACAGTCCTCATTAGCAAGGCTCACTCCGAAGTGGTCTTCTTGAGCAACTGCTCAAAATCCTGCATAGGTCCCTGATATCCACAGGACAGAGTCCACCTGCCCAGCTCAGCAGCTAAGCTCCTTCCCACCTGGTCCCATCCTCCCTTCAGCCTTCTCTCCTGGGACTCCCATTTCGGAACCCAAGTTACAGTGACCTTGCCCCCAGTTTTCTGAGATGATCTCATTTCCTGTAATAATAACTTCTTAAATAAAGCCAAGAAGTGAAATGTATGATTTAAAGTGGTTTTCATTTTTATTTTGTAATAGTTTTCAAAAAAGTTACTAGTGGGGGGGCGGAATTCGCTGCCATTCTCTGTGTTTTAATTTTTGCTTCAAAACGACTAGGCCTGTCCTAAATCCAAGGCTTTGCAAGATATCGTGAGTTTCCAGCTGCCACACCTTTGTCCATGCTGTTACTCTGCCAGTGGGTCTCGTGACCCAAGGGGACACTTCTCTAAACTCTGTCCATGTCACTAGGCTCTTTTCAATCACCAGCTCCTCCCAGAAGCCCCTGGCCGGGGGTCCAGCACATAACAGACATTAAAAAAAGATGGAAGCTGGAGAAACTGCCTTTCCATTGACGCTGACAGTTGAACTCTTAGCTGTCCCTTGGACGAATCTGCCCAAGGATTTGTCCCCTCTCCTCAACGTGATAGCCTTCAGGGCAGGTCCCACCCCCACTATAACCCCCACAATCTCCCCTGTGGTGGATAGCACAGCCCCTTCACTCAGCAGGTGCATAATTGCTGCATGACTGGCTGAGGAAAAGCTTCAAACAGCTGCCCTTCCTTCTATCAAGAAAAAAGCACAACTCCTTTGTGAAGATAAAATAGGTCACATTGCCTCCCTCGCTCCGGCCTGTGGTCTGGCCAGACACACTCTCCAGCCCGGCGTCTCTGAGCCCTGCCTGGCATTCTGGAAGTGTCCAAGAAAACATTAGGCTGCCTGTGTCCTGGCCCTTCCCCGCTCTCTCTGCCCTGCGTCCTGCCACCTTGGGAATCAGCTGGAACACTGAGGCCTCCGTGGCCATGGCTCCTTCTCCAAAAGAACAGGCAGGAGCAAAGAGAGGGGCCCTGTCAATGCAGTTACACACATCAAGTTATTAAAGGTGAATCTTAGCGTGTGTGTGTGTGTGTGTGTGTGTGTGTTCAAAATAGGATAGTGACTCAGAAATTAGAAAAAGCAATGGAGGTGCTTGCTTGACTGAGCCCTGAATCTGGGCATTTCCTTAGTCATGGAAGCAAGGCCTACCCCTCTCTTAAACCTCCACATGGTAAGTATGTGTCTTGGAGGCAGGGGAGGGGCCGGGGGTGCTTAGCCTGTCCTCCTTGGTGGCATGAACAAATTTTGGGGACACTGGAGCTCCCTGAAACCAGCTGTGCATGTTTATCTGTGCATGTTCCCTGGGGGTGGGGGTGGAGCAGTGGTCACTGTGTTCTTGGGCTTCTGGGAGGCATCTGTGACTCCAGAGCAGTATAGGAACTAGGGTGGGTTGCCAGACTTAGCACCTGCAAATACTGCATGGCGAAAAAGAAAATAACATGGGGCATATTTATACCTAACAAGTATTCGTGGTTTAGTGAAATTCACATTCAGCTGTTTTTTCTGGATTTTACCTGGCAATCCCAAACCAGTGGCTTAAGCCTGTGCAGTGTAACCTAGCTCATGTTTCAGCCACTGAGTCATTTCTTCCTTCCCTCCTTCATTCACCCACCAGCATGCACGCGTGTGCGCACACACGGACAGCTACAGGAGCTGTCAAGGCCAGGCCCCGCAAGGAAACACTGCAGAGTGAAAACACAACGACCCTGTCCCCTCCTCTGCCCAGCACCCCTCACACCTGGCACCTATCTCTGGGGAGCTGGTCTGGACCCAGGCGCAGCACCCCAACACATGCAGGCATTGTGGGGGTGGGGGTCAGGTCTAACAGCTCCACCAGCTTCCCCTCCCCGCACCTGGATGAACAGCCCCAGGTCCTGGTCGCTCACACACGGATGGGCCCTCAGGAACTTCTCTCGGACCTCCCCCAGCTCCCTCTGGGCCTGCTGCTCGTGCGGCTGCTCCAGGACCTGGAACACCAGGGCACCAGCCACCAAGTAGAGCAGGACCAGCGCCAGGAGGGCCAGCAGTGTGGTGCCGCGCATGGCGGGCCCGGGGGCCCGGCCACTCCTGCCGCCTGCCGGGGAGGGCCGGGCAGGGGGGTCCTGGGGAGCTGCAGTCACTGCGGGCAGAAGCAGGGATGTGGGATCAGTACGACGCCAGGCGCCGCCGCCTCCTCCCAAGCCCCTGCACGCCCAAGGGTCGTCAGCCCCAGCTCTATGCCCGAAGATGTTCTAGCTTCACATTTTTCTGGCTGGAAGCTGGGTACCAGAACACACCCAGTCGCCCCCTCCTCCAACACCCCCGCCCCTTACCTCCACCGCTGGGCCCTCACTCAGCCCCCGTCGGGGGACTCTCGTGGGAGAGGAGGAGGGGGCACCGGGAAGGTAAAGGAAGCAGACTGGAAGGGGGAGAGACTGAGCCTGCGGAGGGAGAGGCAGGGCAGCAGGGAGCTGCTGGGGGCGCGGAGAGGCGTGGGGAGGCGGTTTTCCGGCTGGAGGCTGAGCGGGCGCGGAGGTGCGCGAAGGAAAGCGGGCGGAGAGGCCGGAGAGCGCCGGGCGGAGCCGAGATGGCGGGTCCCGGCGGCTGGTCCGCTGCGGCTGCAGCAGCGTCTTCCCGACTGCCCCTCCCGGTTCTGCTGGCCGCGACGGACCAGGCAGGGAGCCTCCAGGGGCCCCCAGCATCCCGCCCGGCTTTCTAGGAACCCAGGGGCGGGTCCCGGCGCCGCGCACGGCCAGGCAGGGCGGGGAAGTGTCGGAGGGTGCTCGGCTCCGGAAGGAGCGGCGGAGGCAGAAGGGTAAGACAGGCACGAGCCCGGGGCCAGCTGGAGCCCCGGGCCAGCGGTGGCAGCGCCCACGCGCACACGCGGGCACAGAGGCGCCCACGCTCCCCCTCGCAGCTGCAGCCCGCGCACACGCCCCCTGCACACTCCCGCGGCCTCACGGGCACACCCCGCCTGCCAGGACCGTGCGCCCGGGACGGGGTGCCCGCAGGTCTGCACACGTGCGCACACACTCGCGCGCACACCCAGACCGCGGGGCGCGCGCCTCGCCACACAGGCACCCTCCGCTCGCTCCCACTGATTCCCCGCGTCCTGACGCCGCCGCCTCTGAGCGTGACGGGTGGCGCGACCTGCGGGCGCGCGACTCCAGGCGGCGCCCACGCACGGGATCCCCTACGCCGCTGCGCTGCCGGGGAGCCCCGGCCGCACCCCCACGCCCGCCCACCCAAGCTCTCCGCCCGCACTCACTGTCGGCCCCGCTGCGGCTGTGCTGCGGCCCCGGCTCCCGCGCGGCCTCGTGGGTGCCTGTGCCCGCTGGGCCGCCGAGGCGAGGCGGCAGCGGCAGGGGCGGAGCGGGAGGCCCCCGGGACTGGGACCCCCCTCCCGCCGCCAAAAGCCCCCCTTCTCCCGCGTTTAACTCCTGCAGCGCCGCGCCTCCGGCTCGCCTTCGCCTCGCTGCCTGCCTGCGCGTGCCGTAGCTGCCGGCGCCGCCCCAGCCCCCGCCCACAACGCCCCTCACCTGCGGCTGCCCAGCGCCCCAGTGCCAGCGGGGCTCAGGAGATGAGGGACTGAGAACCAGGAGGAGGTAGCCGTTTGGTCTGGCAGCCAGCCTGCCTGGGGCAGCAGCCTGCTCCCCTCTTGGGACAGGCACTGCGCTCAAAGCCCAGGCCCCCAGGCGCGCTCCTGGGTCCCAGGGGTCCCTGACCTCAGCACTCAGATGGAGGGGACTCCTTGGGACAAAAGGGTGGGGCACCCCCTGGGGCCCTGGACTTGGCTGAGGAGGTAGGGTGGGAACCCTGATCTGGCAAGTCATGCTCCTGTCATTTGGACATCCCCAGCACTGGCTGGGTGCCTCTATGCCCATCTTGGCATGGAAGGCTCCACCCTCCCTTTCCCTACCTAACAGCCAGAGGGGACGGTGCTGGAACTGCACCCCTCTCTGCTCTAACCCACTTTTTTACAACCTCCATCTCTCCGAAGCCCATCTTCTGCTCGGGCCTGGGGCCAGGCAAGGGAGGCCGCCCCCTACCAGTAGGGGGCCCTCACAGGTCAGGGACGCTCCCAGAGCTTCCCAGGCCCTGGCCAGGGCATCCGCTGGCTGGCTCACTCATCTCCCAGAACCTCCCAGACCCACTCCTGGGTCCCGTTAGCCCTGGACTCAGCACTCATGAAGGTTGGGGGCGGGATGCAGTTCTGAGCCAGAGAGAGCTGCTCTTTGTAATGCACAGAGACACAAATGTTAACAGCTTTCCCTTCAGTGATTGTTCAGTTTCCAGCTGTTCTCTGAGCCTCAGATGCCCTCCCTGGTGGCCAGTGCCCCACACATGAAGGATCTGAAGACAGGCTCAGTGCTAGGCCCTAGAGACTTAGAAAGCTAGGAGGTGTGGTCGGCAGCCAGGCCCCACGATAAGCAATGCCCACCCCGGAGGTGGGGGCTTGATCTGCCAGGGTAGTGGCCACAGAGAGGCAGAGACTGTTTTAGTGGGGGCAGCCCACCCATCCGGCCAAGGCCACAGCCGGTAGCGAGACCGCCCCATCCCCAGCCTGCTCCTCCACGGGAGCTGCGAAGGCCAGTGTGAGCATGAGGACAGGGACGCAAGGGCCCCAGAAGTCCCAATTCGCCGGGCTGTGACGCATAATGGCCACCTTGTCATCTGACCCAGGCCTGGAAGACCTCCTAGAGGACGACAGGGAAGCCTCCGGTGGGGACGGGGCAGGAGAGGGGCAGGAGTCCCCGACCCAAGCACAGCAGGCGCCCGCCTCTCCTGGTCCGGCAAGGCCAGCATTTCATCGGCCCTGGCCCCCGGACCACAGTGCCTGGAACAGGGAAGACTGACAGACAGACAGGTGGGCCGACGTGGGGCACAGACACTGTTTATTGACTGGCAGGCGCAGGAGAGGTAGCTGGCTCCGATGTAGAAGCGGAGGTGGCAGGTCATGCCAGGGTGCTGTGGGCATCTGGCAGCCAGGGCCAGGCCCCCATCCTAGGGGGTGGCAGGAGCTCACTACAACGGGTGGGGGGGGGAGGCAGTGACCACAGCTCCCAGGTTCCTGGGCAAGAAGCAGCAGATAAAACTGGCCCCAGAGCCTGGGGTAGGAGAGACTGGGGTCTCTGTGTCCTGGGGGCACAGGATGGGGGGTCACGTCTGTGGAGTGGAGTAGAGACTGTGGTGGTGGCTGCCTGGACCCAGCACCTGGGAGAAGAGCAGAGGCGTGGTCCGCGTCTGGCTGCCCCCACACCAGCCTGGCTCCCGTCCGATGGCACCATACCAGCTCCCGGAGCCCAGGCTGCCCGACATGCTGCGGGCAGAGAAACAGGGTGAGTCCCAGGCAGCGACCGGCCACACTCGCAAGGGCCGGGAGAGAGGGCGTCTGGAGAGAGCCCGCCCTGCAGACAGCGGCTGGGTGCGTCTCCGGGTGAGAGGTCGGGGCCTGCGCAGCAGGAGGCGGAGGCGGAACCCACCCGGCGCAGGGCAGCAGGGCAGAGGCCAAGCAGCCCTCGTCCTCTAAGGGCAGAGCCAGCCGGGCAGGGCAGGGCCCTACCTGGTGCTCTCGCCCGGGCTGTGCTCCCAGGCGCAGGCCTCGTCCTCGCAGTGCCCGGCCCGGTCAAAGAAGTAGGAGCGGGAGCCAGAGACCTGGCCGTTGAGGATGCGGCTGGTACTCTGCAGGGGGAAGCCGCCGTCCATGCTGTCTCCTGCCCTCTGGCCTCCCCCACCCCGCCCCCACCCCAGCCCTGGGCTTCCGTGCCCACCGCTCTCCACCGACCCTCACCAAGTCCTGCGGGGGCCGGTGCACCCGGAAGAAGCCCACCAGCAGGGTGGTTGGCAGCAGCTCCCACACGAAGAGGATGAGGCCGAAGACCAGGTAACCTTTGTTCCCCAGGTCGTTCACCAGGTCCGCCTGTGGGCAAGCAGGGGCTGTGCCGTGCTGCCATCGTGCCCGCCGGGCACCCACACATGGCCCAGGCCCGCCGGAGGCCAGCAAACCCGGCTGCTGGGAAGGCCCACCTGGTCGGAGACGTTGTACCAGTCATAGTCGAAGGCGTCCAGCCGGCTCCGGGGGGCCAAGGCCAGAGCTGCCAGGTTGTAGCAGGCCCGGCTTGCGTAGAGCAGGACCATGGCACCGCCCATAGCAGCTGCCTGGCACACACTGGTCCCCTGGCACGGGTGACAACAGGAGACTCTCAGGGAGAGAAGGCCCACCTTCCTCCCTACCCTGAAGGTTCCAAAAGACACCAGAGCATCAGTGGGGGGCCTCCCTACCTTGGCTTCCAGGTAGATGCTGGTGGAGGGGGCCCGTCGGGCGACCAGACAGAGGCAGGCGGCAAGGGAGAGTGCGCAGATGACAAAGAGGGAGTCGCTCACCAGCACGCGCACCAGCAGGAGCACCCAGGGCTGTGTCCGGCGCCGGCGGGACAGCACAGCACACAGCACATTCACCAGCAGAAAGAGCAGCGAGGCCCCCACGAAGGCCCCTCGGACAGCCAGCCTGCAGCCCACAGCACAGTCAGTGCCCGCCTCGGCCCCTGCACCCCCAACACCCTGCCGCGCCCTGGAAGGCTCTGTGCAATCAGGTCATCCAGTCTGAGCCCTGGCCTTTCGGTTCTACTGATAGGAAGAGCGGGGCCCACAGCGGTCACAAGGTAACTGAGTCTGCAGCACAGTGGGAAGGACACTGGACTGGGGAGTCAGAAATTCAGGTGACGCCCTGGATCTGCCTCCTGCTAGATCTGTGACCTTGAACAAGCTGGTTTTCCTTCCTGGGCCTCGGTTTCTTCATCTCTCAAATGGGGGTTAACAATGTGACAGATAAGTTGCAAAGCGAAAAAAGCCGTCTGTGAAGTTCTTGATAAACTTATTCCAATGACAGGAGTGTCACCACCCAAGGTCACCCCTGTTTGGAGGTTCTGAGGGCGGGGGCCTCCAGCTCTCCAGCAACCGCAGATGCCATGGGCACCCTCCCCAGGTATCACGAAGGTCTCCATAATCACTGTGCTCCACGTGGGCAACGCCTCTGCAGCCATCCGCACAGGTGGGAACATTTCGAGCTCTGTCACAAACACTTGCTGGGCTGTCCTAGCCTCAGCCTGGGCGGGGGCTGCTCTCTGCCCTGGCCTAGCCTGGCCTGGGGGTCTAACCCACCCATGTCCGGAGTACTTACAAGCCTCGGCTCATCTCTGGCCGACGCTTCGCCTTGGCCTTGAATACCACCTGGGAACAGAGGTGCCCATCATTCCTTGAGCTCCCAGGGGGATTGGCCACACCGCAGTCCACCTCCACCCATTACCATGGTTACCTGGGCAAAGTAGAGGTTCATAAGCGTCAGTGTGAAGAACTGCAGGCAGACCGGGCAGCAGTAGAGAAGCCAAAAGGGCAGGGGTCCCAGGCGGTTGGCGCGGGGGGTATCTCGGAAGTAGAAGGAGAAGAGGGTGGTACGCAGGGCAGCCCAGAGCAGACACAGTGCCAGGAACACCGTCTGATAGCTGAGACGTTTGTGCCCATACAGGAGGACCAGCCAAAGCTGGGCATAGACGGAGAAGAAAAGCAGGGCATACAGAGTGGTGTAGGCCGCGGTCAGTCCCAGGGTCACGGCAGGCGGCAGTGCAGGTACCAGCCCAGCAGCAGGCACCAGGCCAGACAGGTTACTCTCCATGTCAGAGGGGTGGGCCTGAGTCCCAGAGACAGAGATGGAGGGGCTGGCAGGGGGCCAGGGAAATAAATAGAGAGGGTGGGAGTTGCAAGGCGCTGAGACAGAGGGAACTCAGGAGGGCAGAAGTTGTGACTGGCCGGCCCCTCCCCCCCAACAGAGGAACCCTTGCTCTGGCAGGGCACAGGCAGCTTGGCTCTTGCCCTGGGCCCCTCACTCAGCGTGTGGAAGGGCAATTTCTTCTGAGCAGAGGGGAGGTAGGGGTGTCTGCTCCCTAGGCCACGGCGGGGGAGGAGCTGTAGAGGCTGAAAGAGAGGGGTCCCAGGCCTTGATCGCTCAGAGTCGTCCTGGCAGGAGGGGGGAGAGCCAGCCGAAGCCCGTCGGCTCGGTGCAGCTGATGCTGCCGGGGGACGCTCAACGCCCGGCCCTCCCCCTCCCAAAACTGGGGGGTTGTCTCCCCTGCAATAATCCGGACGGGGAGGGCGTTCTGCCTCTGTCCTCTGGATCCGGACGCTGTCCCCACGCCCCCCACACACTGCGTTTACTTTCCAGCTGCCGGAGGCGGCAGGAGGCCGCCGCCGGGTCCTCAGGCCGCCGCTGGGGGAGCCGGCTCCGGTCGCTGGGACCCGGGGCTCCGGCTCCCCGGCTCCCGCCGCTCCGCCCTCCTGCGCCTGCGCGGGCGCCGTTCACTACGCAAATTGCGCAGGGTCCAACTCCGGCTCGTCTGCTCAGCGCCGCTCCCGGCTCCGAGCGATTCGAGAATTGGCGCCAGGTGCGCCGCGGGCGGGTGTCCGGGGTTACCGGAGGCGGCGAGCGGCCCAGACGCCGCGGCCTCGCCGCATCCTGCGGGTGCCCGGGGCCACCGGCCCTGGGCTGTGCCAGGGTCTCCCAGTTGCCATGCTTCTCCGGCCCATCAAACCCAGATCGTGCCGGCCGGGGGCGGCGACGTCGTCCCCTCACCCATTCTCTGAAGGAAACTTCCGCCCACAGCCAAGATGGCCACCGCGCCCCGCCCCCGAGCCGCCGCCGCGGGTCCGCCGCCCCACGCCCCCGCCGGCCGCCCGCCAGGAGCGAACCCCGCGCGCCTTACGGCCGCTTCACAGGGGCCCCGTCCCTTCAGCGCCGGGAGGAGGCTCCCTCGCTTATCTCCAGCGCGACCGAGATGGCGCGGGGAGTGGCGCCCTGAGGCGAGCGGCACGGGGTTTCCACTGTGGGGAGGGGAGGGAGCGGGATTTCCCGACCCCGTCAGTGCACCGGGAGCGGAGACGACGGAACAACAGCACCCGAAGGCTGCGCCTCAGCTGGGGCCTTGCAAAGGGCTTTCACCCGCAGTCATCACCACTTGATTTACCAGGTCACTGGCTCTTGGGAGAAGTGTCATTATCCCCATTTTATAGGGATGGAAACCGAGGCCCAGAGGGGCTGAAGAGCTTGTCAGCAGAAGCTAGCCTCCAGGTTCTAGGGGGGACCCCAAAGAATCCTCATCTGCTCCCACACACTCCTCTGGCGCGGGATGAGGAAGGGACCCGGGAGGGAGGCGGGGGACGCCGTGCTGCGGGGCTTTGGGGGCGGGGCCAGGCCGGGAGCGGCCCCGCCCCTGGTCCCGCCCCGTGACATTTCGAGAGTTCATTGGGCCCGGTCCGTGGCAGTTCCCGTTGCCACGGCAACTAGAGCCGGGCTCCCTCGGTACTGGAGAAAGGCTTCAGGCGGGGCTCAGGGGCCTCGAGATCGGGCTAGGGGTGAGACCTGTTGCCCGTTCCGGGGGGGTGGAGGGGCGGGGGGGGGCGGGCCTCCACAGCACCGGGACTCTGAGAGGTCCTGGGTGGACTGGCAGAGCTGCCCGCCCGGCCAGACGCAGCGGACAGATGGGAGCACGGGAAGCAGTGCGAACCTGGGGCTTCAGGGTGGGGAGGGAATCAGGGGCTCCTGCTCCCCAACATTGCCACCGCCGTTGCCCCAGCTGTTCCCTAACTACCTGCCATCTTTCCCCCCACAGCCCAGAGCATGTTCCAGATCCCAGAGTTTGAGCAGAGTGAGCAGGAAGAAGACTCCAGCCCTGCATATAGGGGCCTGCGCCCCAGCCCCACAGGGGCCCGCCTGGGCCAGCACCAGAGGACGGCCCCAGACCTCCTAGGAGTAGCTGGTGACCAGCGGGGGCAGCCAACTGGCAGCAGCCACTATGAAGGTAGGCATGCCCCTCCCCAGCCACCTGCCTGTCCAGTGACCTGCCTGTCCAGCCCCCTGGCTTCCTGCAACCCAGCCCATCCATACACACTGGGTGGCTCCCCAGGCCTCAGTTTCCTCTTCTGTAAAACAGCAATTAATCACCACTATGGTGAGACTGTTGTGATAATTAATCCAGACTAAGTAGAAAGCACTTAATTATAGTGCAGGTGCTAAATAAACACTCGGTGTATTTATGTGTGGGGCCAAGCAGGTAGTGTGCCAGAAAGGGGAAGTGACTTGCCTAAGGTCACACTTGCTCCTTTCCTTTGGTAGGAAGCAAGGCAGAGAAGTGGAGGTGCCCTGCCACAGACTGCCGCCTGCCAGCAGCCCCCATGTTCTGTCCCCGCCCTGAGCTCACACCCACACCATGTGGTCCTCACACGGTTGTGAGGTGACACCCTGAGGCAGTCGGCCCTCCCAGGCAGCGGTCTTGTGGAGACGGGAGCAGAGGCAGTCCTCCACACACACACTGCCCCAGGGAGGCCCAGTGCTGAGGTGGGGGGATGGGCAGTGACCATCTTGCAGTAATCTACCTCCCCAGTGGTCACCCCAGCCTTAGCTCCAGGAATGACCACGAGATCTGAAAACAAAAATCATGCCCCTTACCTGCTAAAAGCTCAGCTGCTGTCTCCCCATCTTCAGGCAGGAAGGCTTGTGAGAGCCTCTCTCCTCCCTCAGTCCCCCATGCTGTCAGGCTGAGCGCCACAGTCGGTCAGGAAGCCAGGGGCTGGGGTCACCTGACAGGTTCTCCAATTCCACATAGCTTTCCACCCAACCTGGAAGGGGAAGCTTTCCTTCCCCCCCTCTGTGTATCTGCTGCTGGTCTGGGCCGTGAGCATCTCCAGTGCCAGGGTGCCTCAGTGACCAAGGAGATAAAGCCCTGACCCCTCAGAAGCCTGTATTCTACTCCCACGTGGGGAAATAACCCTCAACAAAGGCTCTCTCTTTGGAACCCCCAATTCTGTGCCCTGCCCAGGGACTGACCACAGAGGTGGTCAGGGTCAACCTTGGTAAGAAGCAACACGAGCAGACTAGGAGGGATGAGGGGTGGGAAGAGGGGTGGCAGGCAGAGCTGTGCAAAGGCCCTGAGGCAGGATGTGGTCCAGGTGTGCTCCCGGGAGAGGGGCACCAGTGGAGGAGCAGTAGCTGGGCAGGGCCCTGAAGACCCCTCAGGACCTCAGTTGTCACTTTGGGTGAAGACAGGAGGTGCTTTGAGTGAGGCTCGCATTTGATTTGGGCATCAGGAAAGTCACAGCAGACCTCCCAGGTGGTGAAGGGGTTAAATTAGTGCAGCACTATGACTTTATCTGCAGTCACTGCAGTGCCTGGCCAGGGAGTGACCCACATGGCGCAGCAGACCTCTCCTGTCTCCCCCGCCCCAGCAGTGTGTTTCTGTCAGTCTGCCTGTTCTGCTCCCCAGTTTCTCTGGGGAATCCTCTCACCCCCACCCCCGTGCCTGTGGCCTGCATCCCAGTTCTTGTGTGCATAAATAAATAAATCTTTTTTTTTTTTTTTTTAAAGATTTATTTGTGCATACAGAACTGGGGTACAGGCCAGAGGCTCAGGGGCGGCGAGAGGCTTCACCAGAGACAGAGTGGGGAGCAGAACAGGCAGATGGATGAAGTACACTGCTGAGGGGAGCAGCGGGCGGGCCAGGAGAGGTCTGCCGCGCCATGTGGTCACCTCCGGGGCAGGCGGGAATCGAACTCATGCGGAAGCGGCTTTAGATTCTCAGTGCAGTGCTTTAACCCGCTGCGCCACCAGGGAGGGCCCATAAATAAATCTTTTAAAAAATGTCACCAGGGTCCCTTGTGTTGAGACTAGTCTGCAAGGGTCTGCAGGTGAGAGGGAGCACTGCACAAATGCCAGCCAGCAGGATGTAAGCCACGTGGGCAGCTGCTGGACTGCAGGTTATTGTGAAGGGAGAGCTGGGTTTGCTGGACTGGAGGCAGCGCATGAGGGAAGGAGCCCAGGAGGGAACCTGGCCTGGGCACCTCTGGGTTGCTCAGGAGCAGAGAAGGCTGGGCAAGATCAGGAGCCCAGATGGTGGCGGCTCAGCTGAGCATGCCTTTGTGGCGAGCTGGTAGAGTTTTGCAGTAGAGGGAGGTCCAGGGGGGATTTCGCACGCAGCCGCTGGATCCCCGGATCGGGACTGATGGGCTGATGTGGTGTGTCCTGTAAGGCTGCAGGAGCCGGTGTGAACGGGAGAGCACCTGGGCCGACCTGGGGCGGCAGACAGGTGGAGAGGGCTCTGGAGACAGCAGGCAGCCAGGTAGGAGGGAAACAGAGCAGGCAGGGCCTGAGCTTGCAGATGCTCTAGGTGGGGTATGAGTGGGCTGTTACCCGGGCCAGTGCCAGAGCAGCTTTAGGAAGGTTGCCCAGAGGGGTGGGGGTGGGGGGTAACCAGAAGACCTCTGCAGGCAGGAAGGGAAGCCCACTATTGGCAGCTCTGTCTCTGGTAATGGGCAGCAGAGAAATAGGCGGCAGCTGAAGGCCCAAGGAGGGTCAATGGAAGGTGGCTTTATTTATTTATGCTATTAAAATAGAAAAAAAGAGCAAGCTCGTAAGCTGATGGCGCCATCCAGGATTGAGGGGAGACTTGCTGGACAGAGGAGGAGAGAGGGGTCTGGCACCCAGGGGCAGGGCACTGGAGGGGGCAGGGGCAGGAAGTTTCTCCTGTGGTTTTCCCAGTTCCTCTGTGGAAGCACGCCAGGTCAGAGTCAAAGTGAGCGTGAGGGGAAAGGAGTCTGAAGTGGCCGTCCAGGAGCCCGGGAGGTGTGCCAGGCGATGTGAAGGGCCCCTTCAGTGGCTGTGAATTTGCACAGACGTGCCGGCCTGCGCTTTCTCCGGCTGCCCTGCCCCTCAGTGTTGCCAGGAGCAGAGGCAGCAGCAGAGCTGGGCTTAGCCAAAGCGCTTGGTCCCCGCCTGGGGGAGGAAGAGGGCTTGAGGGTCATGCAGGGAGGGGTGGTGGGGATGAGAGGTCGGCTAGCCTAGGAGAGGAGAGGAGCCCCAAGGTAACCCAGCATCACGAGCCGGGGTACCAAGGGGGTGGGTCCGAGGGAGGTTTGGGCTGGTATTACTGGTGGTGATCAGGGCTCAGTTATACCCACAGGAATAAGTGTCAGGAGAGGTGGAGGAGAGACAGGGCTGGAGAGGCCCAGAGTTGGCAAGGACCACACGGGCTCTGTGAAAATGTAAGATGGTGATGAAGAGAGTGGCAGGGATGTGGGGCAGCCTGCGTGAATCAGGGTGAGCAGGAGTATGGCCCAGAGCGGAAGGGCAGGCATAGCTTGAGAAACCAGATTTTAAGGAAGAGGTTCTGAAGCAGCGAGGAGCTGAGCCCCAGGGGCAGCGGGCGGCCTCCCACTGCCCTGTAGCATCCAGGCTGGAAAGCAAATGAACTTTCCCATACAAGACGCCAAAGTGCCAGAAGTGCCAGTCACCTGGGGAGCCACAGGGCCCTGTTCCCCTTCCGTGGGCAGGTCCTTCACTCTTCAGACTTATGGCTGCCTGGCCACCACCCAGATTTGGCAGATTCGTGTCTCCCAGGGCAGGGAGCCCTTTTGTGCTGGGCCAGCTCCAGGGCAAGGGTGGGGCCTGGGGCAGGTACGTGCAGGTGAGCTGTGGGGTGTGATGGGGGGGGGGGGAAGGAAGGTGGGGTGATGAGGGCGGGGAGAGGGGAGAAGCTATAGCTCCAGGCTCTGGCCCCACCCAGGGCTCAGGCAGCTTAAGCCTTTATGCTGCCTTAGTTTTCTTTTTCTTTCCCTGAAGATTTATTTTTTATGCATACAAGAGCTGGGGTACAGGGCTGAGGTGAGGGTTTAGACAATTCCCCAGAGACAGTGGGGAGCAGGACAGGCAGATCTACTGAAACACTGCTAAAGGGAGCAGCAGGGAGACAGGAGGGGTCTGCTGTGCCATGAGGGTCACTCCCTGGCCGGGGATGGAACTCAAGCTTCACAGCGCTGAGACTTAACCCCTGTGCTACCAGGGAGGCCCCATGCTTTAGTTTTCTTAACTGCAAAATGGGAATAAAATTAGTAGCAGTTCACAGGGATGCAGGCGTTGGGCAGAAACTATGGCCTTTGATGATTCCAGTATCTACTCTCCGGCCATTTACAGAACCCTCTTGCTGGTCTCCACATTTAATGTTTTCTGATTTCCTTAATAATGGGCTGGTAGGTTCTTTGGAAGCCAGTACGGGGCTCTTGTACCTCAAAAGGCTGGAGGATTCATAGGCAGCCTGCAGGTGCCCTAGGCTGACAGGCCTGCCTAGGGTGGGGCAGCTGTCCTCCAAGCTGCTGGGAATGTGGATGTGTCCAACCCCGCCCTCTTACCCAGAAGCCAGTGGTCAAAGAACTTAAAGCTTTGCTGGGGTGGAGTGGAGGGAGGTGACCTCCTGCCAGGCTCTCAGGAGAATGTGGGTGTGGGCATCACCTGTGGTCTCCCCCAGAGAGGAGCCCAGATTACCTTCCCTGCCAGAAAGGTGGCTCTGCCCTGCCCGTGGGCCTTGTGGGTGAAAGCTGAGTGAGAGTGGGATGGTGCTGCCAGGCTGGCTGTCCCCCCCCCCCCCCCCAGTTCACAAAGGGGCCCTCAGGGTTTTCCAGCAAGATCACCTTAAGGCCAGTTTCCACATATGCCTGTCTCTGATGCTGCCGCCTTGAGTGTGGGTTAAAACCCCACCCCACAGAGGGGCTCCAGGGGGCGCCCAGAGGGGACTTTCCCACCCTGGACCCTCAGGGTGGTCCACACGCTGCTGGAGGGTGCCTGGGGCCCTGCAGTCAGGCACAGTCCCTGGACAGAGGCTGTCAGGCTTGGATCTGGCACTGCTGTGTGCCTCGGCTGTCCCTTCCCTGTGCCTCAGTGTTCTCCTCTGTAAAATGGGGATAGTGGGTAAACATACCTCACAGGGTGTGGTGAGGTGGTCATGAAGTCAGACTGTTACAGGGCAGGGAGAGCGGCACCCCTGAACTCCCAAACCTGCCTGTTCTGCCGTCTGCTGCATCAAGATAGAACATATAAGATCTTTAAGGGGAAGGATCTTTAATGCATCCGTGTGCAATACAGCAAACGTGAAGAATGTAGTTTCTAAATCCAGCACCAGAAGTCACCCGTCCCCTCGTGAGTGAAAGTCCACCCTAAAGGGACTGACCAAAGCAAGCCCTGAAAGCTGCCCTGAGGCTAAAGCACCCCCCCCCCCCACCCATAGAAAAGGGCCAGAAACAGCCAGACAAGTCTGGGAGGAAAGAGCAAAATCAAAATCAAGATAAAAGCTGCCATCGTCACCTCCCCACAAGTCTCTCACCCCCCATCTGTGTCACCCAGTCCAGGGCCAAGAAATAAGAGCCGCTCGGTCACGTGTCTCTGCTCCCTGTGCCGCAAGTCTCCTCTGGCTCCATCCTGCTTCCTTCCTCTCCAGTTTCCTCTCCAGATTCTCCTCTTTTCTGCTCAGCTCCACCCTCCTGAGTGGGGCAGGGAGTCTGGAACCTCTGCTTTTCCTGGGGACCATCCTGTAGCCGGACCCCTGAAGCACTGTGAGCCTGGTTCTGCTTCCTGGGCAGTGCCCAAACAAAGCCCACCTGCAGGCCACTCCCAGTGCTTTTTATGTTTACAAGAACTAGGGTACAGGCAGTGATGCAGGACTCACCAGACACAGTGGGCAGCAAAACAGGCAGATGGCCCCACTCCCAACTCTTGAGCCTCGTGCCCACTGTTTGCAGTGAAGAGGGCGCTTAGAGCCTAGAGAAGAAAACCGGCATTTCCTGAGCCCTAAGTGGCCAGGCCGGATGTGCCAGCCGCCTGACATCAGGCCCCTCCTACCCCTCTGTTCTCTATTGTCAGCAGTAAACTAGGGAGAAGTTGGCTGCGCACTGGGGGGGGGGGGGGGGGCTCCCAGTGTGAAGTGTGGAAGCTAGCGCTTCCCGTCTCACAGTGGCCCATGGGTCACACAACAGGAGCACAGTTGAGGTGCAGGCCCAACTCACTGCCCACGCTCCACGGCAGGCCTGCTCCCCTCGGCTCTCCCCACCACTGGCTCCTCCAGCCCTGACCTCTTCCCCGCGGTCACCTGGCTCCTCAATTCCTATGGTGTCCTCCCAGACCTCGGCCCTGCCTTTCGTGTTCACCCTCCTACCCCGGCCCTCTGGATACAGTCCTCACATCCCTCCTCAGCTGTCCCTCTTCAGCTTTCCCAGCGCCTGGGCTGGGACCCCTGGAGGCCTGCAGCCCCAGGAACTCTCAGGCACTGCAGAAGGCCTCATGGGCAGGATAAAACATTCTCACCCTGACTTCTGACCCTGGCCTACCCCTCTGTCCAAAGTGACCCCCACACCCACCAAAAACAAGCTTTGCTGTGGACTATGAGCCCGTGTGGACTTGCTCTAGGCCCATCTTCACTCTGTGTCTCACTCTGGCTTGTGCTCTTGGGCATGGGTCTAGGTCTTTGTTGGCTTGGATATGGGGTGGGGTTGGCTGGGATGGGGTGACAGCTCAGAGAATACAGATCAGGCAAATGGGGAATTCAGGCGCTTCTCTGAGTAAAGACCCCACAGTGCATTTGCAGCTTACAGAGCACCCTCCCACTCTTTCATGTGACCTTTACACCTTCACTGGCAGTAAGGCTGAGGCTGGATAAGGAAAGAGGGGTGGATAATCAGTGGACTCTGGATTCCAACAAACCTTGAGGGACTTTGACCCTCAAAGCTTTACAGCTGTGTGATCCTGGTAGATCCTAACTCGCTAAGCCTCTGTCTCTTCTGCAAAATAGGCAATGTTGGGGTCTCCCTAGTAGCCTAGGAGTTACGTCTCAGTGCTACCACCTCACTTCGGTAGCCCCAAGCCCCTGCCAGGGCACAGCAGACCTCTCCTGTTTCGCCTGCAGCTCCCCTCACAGTGTAGAGCAGAACAACCTGCCTGTTCTGCTCCCCACTCTGTCTCTGGTGAATACTTTTACCTCCCATCCCTCACCTCTGGCCTGTAACCCAGTTCTTCTATGCAAAAAAGAATACATTTTAAAAAATAAAATGGGCAATGTTAGGGCTCACCCCCAGAAAGGCTAGGATAGTGAATGAGGTAACACCCGGGCCCAGACACAGCAGTGCTCCACAAATATAACTCTTAAATGGCAAGAGACAGTTCTGGAACTTTTCTCCAGAGCAGCTGTGGGAGCAAATGGACCCCAGCAGGTGACGTGGGGTGCAGAAAGGCCCTGGCTGGGTTAAGGCACCTCCCGGGTCAGGGGATCGCTTCCCTAGCTGTAGAATGAAGAGCAACCCTGAAGGTGCCGGGCGCCCACGGTCTTGTACTAACAGCTTAGTTGTTTCTTACACGCGTATTTTGTGCCCAGCAGAGGAAGGTCATTTTATACACCGAGGGTCTGGTCCATTATTGGGGCTCAATTAAGATCTGTGACATAAAAGTTGAGATTCATCCCGCGAATCTCTGCAGAGGCCGGAGCAGTGGAGACTCGGAGTCGCCACAGTTCCTACCCCACCGCGGCCCAGGAGGATGAAGGGCCGGACGAGGAAGAACTCAGCCCCTTCCGGGGCCGCTCGCGCTCGGCGCCCCCCAACCTCTGGGCTGCACAGCGCTACGGCCGCGAGCTCCGGAGGATGAGCGACGAATTTCAGGGATCCTTCCAGGTGAGCGAGACCCCGACGCAGCCCTGCAGCTCGCGAGATCGCACTCCCGGGCCCTCCCGCCGGCCGGGCCCCTCGGGCGCCCCGGACACGCGGGGTCAGCGCTGCACCCCGCCCACAGGCGCGGCCCTCCCGAGACCCAGAGCATGCCGGGACCTGTAGTCCTGCACTCTGCCCCTCGGAGGCCCAAGGCATGCCGGGACCTGTAGTCCTGCACTCTGCCCCTCGGAGGCCCAAGGCATGCCGGGACCTGTAGTCCTGCACTCTGCTCCTCGGAGGCCCAAGGCAAGCCGGGGCCTCACTCCCGAAGGTCAGAGCTCTCTGGGCCCCCAAATCCGCGGAGCGCGCGGCCTGGTAGTATGAATCCTCCCGCCGCCCCTTTCGGGTGTCTGGAACTCTACTTGTAACCGTTTTAATTCGTGATGGCAGCCCGTTTTCCAGGAGCTAGAGTTCTGGCTCTAGGTAGCCCCTCCCCAGGGCTCCCTCCCAGAGCTGTGGCCTTTGCCCCCGCCCCGGGGCCCACTGAGCGGAGGGATCGCGGAAGTGGAAGGACCTGACAGCAGGAGGCGACTCACTCAACCCTTTCCTCCTCCCACCCCGAAGGGACTTCCTCGTCCGAAGAGCGCGGGCACCGCGACGCAGATGCGGCAAAGCCCCAGCTGGACGCGCATCATTCAGTCCTGGTGGGATCGGAACTTGGGGCGCGGAGGCTCCGCCCCCTCCCAGTGACCTTCCGGCCCTCGTCCCGAAGCTCCCCGGGCCTCGCGGGCGGCCATCTTGGATGCGGGCGGAAGTCTCGCGACGCGTCCAGTCCTTTTCGGGAGGTTTGACCCAGAGCCCCGTTCCCTTCCGGTGTGCGTCAGGACCACGGAGGCTGGGAGCCATCGGAAGTTTTAAAAAGTTTCTGCCCGTAGCGCCGGAAGTGGCTCGGGGATCCCGCCCTGCGCTGCGGGGCTGCCCCAAGGCGCCTGCGCCAAGCCTCGCGCCTGGACGTCCGTCCGTCCACTGGGAAAACCCCGACTTCCCCAGGCCCCTGGCCTCCCCGGCGGAACTGCGGCCCGACGCTCGGGCAGGTTGCGAATAAAGCCCGCGTCTGTGCCGCCGAGTCGTCTGTCCGTCGCTTGCGGCTCGCGGGCCCGGGGGAGCGCTAGCGCCGTTTCAGGAGATGACCCCGTTTCACACCCAAGGGAAACAGTCGTGGAGGGCTGTTGTCCGGGACAGCGACCGGGAAGGGGGCGCGGCGGCGAGCAGAGCCAGAGCTGCTGAACCCCCGGGGACCTCCAGGCCCTTATCGCTAACATGCTAATTGGGAACCTCAGCCCCACCCGTCCTCCCGAATTCCGCGCTCTGCAAACCCAAACCGTACCGCCAGCCCCCGGGGAGGGTCACTTGTTCCTATTTGGGTCAGTCCTTTCGAGCAGCTACTGTGTGGCCGGCCCGGGGCCAGCGCAGCTCAGGGAACTGGCAGGACGTGCAGGAGGGGGCGGCGAGAGGCTCGGCCGAGGGCTGCGAGACGAGCGAGCGAGCACTAGGGAACCGGAGCAGTCTCACCAGGACCTGGAGCGGAGCTCGAAGCTCAGTTCCAGATTTATTGGCGCCCCCTATAGACCAGCAGCAGCCTGTGCTGGTTGTACAGGGTTTACAGACACAAATTGCGCCACAGCCTCCGCTGTCCGAGCTTTCTGGCAGGGGGAGGGCCAGCCTTTCTTAGTGGGGTTAGAGCCAGCTGAGTGTTCTTCTAGCAGAGGGGCCCGGAAGAAGGCGGGGAGGGAGAGGAGAGGCGGGGTGGGGGTGGCTGAGGTTCCCAGCCAGACTGGAGAAAGGGGAGACTTCAGGGAGGAGGTGAGTTAGGGCTGGGACTTGGTGGAGATGGGGGAGCAGCAGAGACCAGGCTTTCAAGGGGCTTGACTGTGATACCCAGTTTAGTGTTTAGCCTGGTTTTTGAGGACCCTGGAGACTGAGAAGTAGTGTTTTTTAAATGGAGTCTGGAAGACACGGCTTGGCTGCTGAGGCATTTGCCCATGAAGGTGGGCAGATTGGGGGCTAGAAAAGCCTGCAGGCAGAAGCAGGAAAGCCTAGGCACGGTCCCCAGATTGGGGGAAGGCCCCAATCTGGAAGCCAGGGATTGAGCTACCCCATCCCATGTGTTTGCCTGAGGCTGAAGCAAAAACAAAGAAAGAAAACACTCAATTGGCAGGAGATAAGCCCAGATAAGAGGCAGCCTTCCTCTGGAGGAGGGAGGCGGTCAGCCCTGGAAGCGCCAGGAAGCTGGGAGAGGCCTTGAAGAAGTGCCAGCCTGACCCAGCTGCAGAGCCCGGCCGCACCCTCGCTGCGGGTCTGCCACTCCTCGATGGCCTGGGCAGAGGTAGAGGCCTGGAGCGGGTCCTCCAAGCTGGCTGGAGACAGTCCACCAGAGGGTCCAGGCCCACCCTACCTCCAGGTCAAGGCGTCTTGACTTAGCTGTGGCCTGGCACTCGTGACTTCTGGACCTCAGTTTCCTCACCTGTAAAACAGGAATAACATCTCCCTCACAGGGATGAGGGGGTGCTGGTTCTCCCAGCCCATGTGTCAGCTCCCTCCCCTAGAGTCACTACCAGGTAGTGAGGGGCCCAGTTCCACCCTGATTACCCCATTCCTGATCCAGAGTCAGATGCCCATGTAGGCCCAGAGAGCCCTGGGGAAGATCCTGGCACTTGGGTCCTATCAGGCAGGAGGGCTGGAGGGCAGGCAACAGAGGCCTGCACCTCCAAGAAGGGAGGCCAAGAGCCCTCCAGGGAGAAAAGTAATGGGGGAAAGAAAGTAACAGAAAACAGAAGCCTTAGCTGAAGGCTGAGGCTGGAAAGCCTGGAGGAGGCCAGAGGGCTCCAGACCTCCCAGTGAGGAGATCAGCCTCTTATCTGCAGGCCCCAGGCAAGGTCTCAAGAGCGCTCAAGCCCAGCAGCCCTCCCCTGGGGGCCTGACCTCTTCCCCACAAAGCCATTTTATAGGTGAGGAAACCAAAGTCCCCAGAAGGGGCAAAGCTTGCCACCTCTGGCACTGCCCCACCCAAACCACACTGCACACAGGGTCCCTGAAATCTTTTATTCATGTAAAAAAAATACCCAAAGAATAAAGACTGTGTCTCCTACTGCCCAGAGCTTGAAGTTCCCATTCACGTGCTCCCTTGGGAAGCAAGGGAGAGGACTCCCACTCTGGGTGGTGGGTGTCATGTTGTGGGGGGGGATTTAAGGCCCCTCCCAGCCCAGGCTCGTGACCCAGCCCCTTTCCTAGAAGTGGGGAAGGGGAGGTCGTGGGGGCCCACGGGCTCTGGAAGTGATGGAAGGGAGTTAGTGTGATGTACTTGACTCAGTTTAAAAAAATAAAATTTCTAAAGATAAAAAGATTTTTTAAAAAACAAATTAAAAAAGATCATTAGTGTTTTAAGCCCTCGTCCCAGTGCCCACCCTGGCCCTGCGGCCACCTCTGGTTCAGCCAGTTCAGAGCTTCGTATTCTCCTCCTGGCTCTCCGAGTCAGGGCCGGACAGATGCCCGCTGCTCCCAGGTGCGTGACCGTTGCTGGCACAGGCTACCAGGTGCCCGTCCCCCAGGCCCTCCGGCGTCTCGCCCAGCAGGCTCCGGCGGATCTCCTGGGGCAGCCTCGCCCGCTGCTCCTCACACTCCTGGACCAGCTGGGTCAGCAGCTGCCGAAGGACAAGTATCACAGGCCAGGCCAGCCCCCAGCACCGAGCAGGCCCCTGGCCACGCCTCCAGGCCTACCTTGGGCTCCTCCTCCGCCAGCTGCTGAAGGATCTGCTGCTGCCCAGCCAGGAGACGCTCCTGGCGCTGCTTCTGGGCCTCCTCCAGCTGCAGGGGCGAGGGGCAAGGGCTCAGCCGGCCTCTAGGGCAGCCCAGACGCGGGCTCCTCAGCGGTCATCGGGGATGGCCTCACAGCGCAGGCCCAGGGCCCCAAACCTCCAGGGCCGTGGGCATTGTTGCGACACTTGGCTTTGGAGCTAGCGTGGGCAAAGGTGAGGTGGTGCCCACGGGGGAGGCTCCAGCAGCCGCAGCTCAGCAGTGCCAGGCCAGGCTCAGAGGAGACTGTTGTTGGTCACGAAGGCGGGGCAGGGGGCCCGGGCCTCACTCACCCGACGGATGGAGTTGACTGACTCAGTGATGTGCCGGCGATTAATCTCCGTCAGTTCCCTGCACAGGAGCACGGCCGGGGGCTCAGTGCCCAGCCCCCCAGCCCTGCTGGCCCTGCACCCCGAGACCCCCCAGCCCGCACGTCCTTACACCTCCTTCTTATGTTTCTCCCTTGTCTTAGCCTCGGAGATACTGTTGTGGCGCTTCCTGTCCAGGATTTTCTGCAGCTCCTTCTTCTCCCTGGGGGGCCGGTGCGGGAGAGGATGAGTTGGCGGCGGGGACGCCCGCACCCGCTCACAGGACCCCGCGCCTTCACCTCTCGTTGGTCTCCTTCAGCCTCTTGAGCTGAGTTGCATGTGCGTCCTGCACAATCTCCTTGAGCCGCTGCTGAGCCTGCGGACACAGGTGGGCAACGGGTGGCACAGGCAGGTGACAGGCCCGTCCAGGCAGGTGCGGCCTCACCGCCGCTGCCCCTCACCTGTTTCACGTGCTCTTTCCTCCGCTGGGTCTCCGTGACCGCCTGCGCCTCCCTCAGCTCCAGCAGAGTCTGCACCTGTTTCCTCTGGAACTCCAGGAGCCGCTTCCCCGCATCCTCATCCGCGCTCTCTCTACCTCTGTGGGAAGACCCCTCTGGTGATGCCCGGCGGGGGACGGGCGTGGGCTGGCTGCCAGCCAGGCCAGGGTCGGAGGGGCCTGTCGCCCGCCCTCGCACACTCACAGGACGCCGCGGGGCTGGGCCTGGGCCTGGGCCAGGCTGTCGAGCAGCCGCCGGGTCAGGGCGGCGGCCTTGCGCTGGTGCTTTTTCAGCAGCTCCCGTAGGTCTCGCTCCTGCCGGCTTCGGAGCTTCAGCAGAGTCTTGTGGCCCCGATGCTCCTCGAGTGGGGCGGGGGCCACCTCTGTGAACAAGGGACAAGAGCCGGGGGAGTGTAGCTGGCGGGTGGAGCCCAGGCAGCACCCCCACACCTCCTGCCAGGCCCCACCCCTACCTGAGAGGATGCTGGCAATGAGGTCGTCCCGCTGCCCTGGGGGCAGAGGCAGGCATGAGGAAACGGGAGAGGCAGGCGGCCCCTCAGCTCACCCCAGCCCAGGCAGCCTCTTACCTGGGCTGCTGAGGGAGGGGCTGGTGGGGGAGGTGACAGCGCCGGGGGGCCGGCGGGGAGAGGCGTCCGGCGGGCTGGGCGCAGGGTTGGGGCACAGCTGGGACCCCAGCTGTGGAGACTGGGTCTCCTGGCAGGTCTCGGGGCCAGCCTGAGCCTGTGGGGTGGAAGCAGAACGCTCCTTCCAGAAATGCTGTTGTCCCTAGGCCTTTGTCCTGCCCAGGGGGCCCTGTCAGCAACCCCCCTAACCTGTCAGGCTCTGGACGCCTCATGCACAGCAAGGGGCTGCTGGGTCAGTTTGTGCAGAGTGACAGGAATAAAATGGCATCTCTAAGCCGCATCCACACTGGGTGCAGATGATAAGGCTAGATCACTTCTCTAGGATGCCAGAACTCACTGCCTGTGCGCACGAACTTCCAGATTGTTCTCGGAAGGCCTGGCTCAGCCCCAAGTTTCCTGCCCTCTCCATGTCCCCTCTCCACCCTTGCCCACAGCTGCTCATCTTCCTCGTTGCTTAGCTCCTGATTAAATCACAAAGGAAGTGACCGCAGAGTGGGCACCAGCCTCTCCCTCTACCAGCTCCGAGCTGCTCATCGCTGCCTGCCGCAGGCCCCTTGGGAGCACGTCTCGATGGACACGGCGCCTGTGCTCCTGACCCCTCCCCACAGAGGCCATCGCCCATCTTCTGGCTCCCAGGACCACGTTTTAAAAGGTTCTGTGGCTTCTGGCTGCCCTAGGGAAGTCTCTGAAGCCCACACCCCGCTTTCACTCTGCCTGCAGCTAGAGGGACTCCAGCCCCTGGGAACCTCTCCCAGCAGGGGCGGAGGGACACCAGGCCACCGGGTCAGCACTGGAAGCAGAGCCCAGGGTGGGGGTCCATGGAGTAAGGAGGTGAAGAGCACGCACCCCCAGCCTGGAGTGGGCATGCAGCATTCACGTGGCTTATTTTGGGGTTTGGGTGAGAGAAGGCTCCAGAAAGGGGAACAGGCTTTCCAGGCCGGGGGAGGATGTGGGAAGTGCCTGAAGCTGGAGTCTGCAGCGAGGCCCCAGGCAGTCCACTCAGGAAAGGAGGCCACCGCGACTGCCCCTCAGGGCTCCCCGCAAGCTCGCCCCATCCCAGCTTACCTCATTCTCCCCAATGAGAGCGGCCAGCTGATTGGCCCTCTGGTCCATCAGGCTGACGTGCTTGATGGGGTTGATCAGGGCCTCAGCGTAGTCTGGTGGGGCAGGGACAAGGGTCTCAGAGAGGGCACGCGGCAGCCGGGGCTGCTCCCTCCCCCCAGCTCTGGAAGGGCGGCGGGACCACAGAACCACAGAACCACGCCCCGCCCCCCCGCCTCCCCCCTCGTGTGCAGGTCCGTCTGCCGCTCTGAATTGGGGTCACCCAGCTGGCCGCGCCCGGCCCCGGCGGCACCCATGCCCCTCGGCCTCCCAGCAGGCTGCCTGCCACCCGGCCCACCCTGGTGGTCATCGGGGATGTAGTCGGAAGCCTCGGTGTAGATGAGCAGGGCCGGCAGGCACAGCGGCTGGTTGGCCTCGTTCCGCAGGCAGATGTAGTGGTACCCTGGGAGGTGGGGGACGGGGCAAAGTGAGAGGCGGCCCAGCCCCCGCCGCTGCCCCCGATCTGCCCAGAGCCGCGTGGCCTCACCTGAGCGGATGGCAGACACGGGCAGTATCCGGTGCCCCACGAACTTGCCCCCTTCCTCAAAGGCCGCGATGCGCAGGGACGCCAGCGTGGGCAGCACCACCTGGGAGGGCAGAGCCCGCTGAGCCCGGGGCCCTGGCCCGCCACGGGGCAGCGCCCACTGGCTCCCTCACAAGCTGACCCGACAGGTGACCAGGTGACCAGTCCCCAAGCCCATGGGCAGCCCTTGCTGTCCTCGCCCACCACACGCAGCCCGAGCCTGACCTGGGCAGGCCCCGGGTGGGGTGGCAGGCCCCGCCTGGACGCCCCGCCTGGACGCCCCGCCTTACCCCCCCCAGCGGTGGGGAAGCCCGCGGGCGGGTGCCGTGCCGGGCTCACCTTGGGGAAGTCGAAGGGTTCCTCATCCCACACGGGGTTGAAGGAGTTGCCCTGGGAGGTGCGGGTGCGGTACCTGCGCCGGGTGTCGACCGGGAGGCCGAACATGTCCACCTCCACGTAGATGCCCACCTTCCTGTCGGACAGGAACTGCCCCGAGATCACCTGGGGAGCCAGCAGGGTGAGGCGCCGCTGAGCCCCGCCCCGGCCCCGCCCGAGCCCTCCGGGCCCCACCTTGACCCGCAAGGCGTTGGCCACGATGCCGTCCACGATGACCTCGGTGAAGGGGTCGAAGGACTTGTCAGGCCGCCGCATGAACTCGGGCTTGAGCAGGTAGCCGCTGCGTCCATTGTACTCGAACACGCCCGCGTTGAGCTGCATGGGGACATCTAGGGCGACGTGGCAGGGACACACAGGCGGCAGAGTCAGGACTTAGGCAGGACGGGGCCAGCCGGAGGGGCAGATGGACTCCCGTCTGTGGTGGGGCCCCGGGTACGGACACGCCGGACAGGAACGTCCCCAGCCTCGGCCAAGTCGGTGGGGAGGGGGGGTGTGGGGGGAGGCATTAGCCCAGGCCTCGGCTGGGTTTGTGGGACTAAGGTTAGAGTCAGAGGTCACTCAGGCAGAAGCCAGTGAGCGTGGGCACCGGGTCAGGGGTGCAGCTGGGCCAGGGCTCACCCAGGGTCTGGAAGTTGAGCGCGACCAGCTGGCAGCCCACGTTCCAGAAGAGCTGGGGCATGTAGTTGGAGGAGTCCACGCGGGTGCCCTTGGGGTAGATGCGGCTGAGCTGCTGCTTGTTGTATCTGAGGTTGAGTCAGGGCCACACAGCGCACGGGCCCGCACCCCGGGCCTACCCCGCACCCCAGATTCCTGCTCCCCGTCTTCGCTCAAGGTGCTGCCCTGGAACCCCGGTTCTCAGCCCAGGCCCTGTGCAGGCCCACCTGCACCCCAGGCTGCTGGACTGCCAGGCCCCCGTGCAGATGGTCAGAACGCCCGAGCTGGCCTGCAGGCACCCCAGCCTGGGCACGGGGCCCCCATGGAAGGATACTCCACAAACTCCATGGGGCTCTTGGTCAGCTGCTCCATGGCCTTGGTCTCCACGAAGGAGGACATCTCGAAGCACTTGTTCCTCTCTGGAGGGGCAGGGGGCGGCGGAGGGGGTCAGGTCTGGCAGGGCTGAGCTGGCTCCCACCCTGACTATCCAGGACCAACTCACTTCGAGCAGCCTCAAAGGACTTGAACTTGACCGGCTCGATGTAGTTGACAAGTGTCGACATTTCCTCCGTGGCATTAACCTCGCTGCTGGCAGTGCCCTGTGGGCCCCAAACGCCGCACATCAGTGGTGCTCGCCCCAGGGCCAGCGGCTGTCCCCCCCACCTCTGCCTCTCCCCCACCTGCCGTCATGCTACCCGTGGGCGTCAGCGAGGGCCCCGCCCCACGCCGCCTCTCCGGCCCAGGGCCCTTCTGCCTCTCAGGACCTGGCACTCCTCCCCAGCCCTGGGAGCCCACTGGCCCCGAACACATGGGCTCCATCTTCACCCCCATCTCGTCGCGTTGCAGGTACCACCTTGCCTTCTCCTCTGGCGGCTCACAAGACCCTTGATCTCAACACCACAGGTGAAGCCACTCCCACAGCAGCTGGGCACCCCAGTGCTCATCTCCTGACCGGCCACCTCTGCCTTCTGCACCGCTCACACATCTCCAGCCCCCCTCACACACCAACCCTTCTCTTGCACCCCCGGGCCTCCCGCAGGGCCTCTGCACGTGCCCTTCCCGGCCCCAGGGCTGCCCCGCCCGCTTGCTGCCCAGCTCAGCTCTCCCAGCCGCCTCCCAGGTCTGAACCCTCACCGCTGCCACCAACATCATCTGCTTGCCTGAGTGACCCCCTTCCGGCTACGACACCCCCTTCCCGCTAACCCACACCCTCTGAACTGCAGGAAGACGGGTAGTGCCTGACCCTGGCCAGACCTCAGCCCAGTGTGCGCCTGGCGGGCAGGTCATCAAATGCCGGGGAAAGGGATGTGTGCTGGCCCCCACTGCCGCCTGCAGGCTGACCTCGTCCGTGGTTGGCTTTTTAGGGTCTGCCTGTTCCTCCTCTTCCTCCTCTTCCTCCTCATCCTCACGGTCAGTAGGCCCGAGAAGATCGGGGCCCTGCGGCAGCCCCTCTTCACCCAGGGACTTCCGAAGCTCCAGGCCGGGCTTCTCGAGGCCCCCCTCCTCCCCGTTGCTCAGGCCTGCGCAGCTGTCAGAGCTGGGGGAGCCTGCAAAGACAGGGTCACAGGGTCGAGGGTCAGGGCACCCGGAACTCAGGGACGGGCTGCCCCGGCGTGCGTGGAGACGCTGTGGAGCACTCGCAGGGCCGCGTGGCTGGCGGCGAGCAGAGGCCAGCGGCTGGGTGGTCTGACAGCCAGAGGGTCAAAGTTCAGCTCAGATTAGGCCCAGCAGGAGTAGGAAAGAGGCAAGAATCGGTCAGACAGCCTCGACAGTGGGGGGTAAGGTGCCCTGGTGGCCGCCGGTCAGGGCGAGTCAGGGCCGTACCCGGAGGCGGGGCTTGGTGGGGGTCAGAGGGAAGAGGGCCACAGTGGACTGAGGGGTCGGCCTTAGTCGGCACTGTGGCCCGGCGGTGGGCGGATGCGGTGGGTCACAGGCGGCGTCACAAGTCTGTGCGGTCAGAGAGGGACGTGGCTTGCTGAGGCCGGAAGTCAGAGCTCAGGTCGGCCTTAGCTGAGGTCAGGAAGTGACCGCATCCAGCTCAGAGGTGAGTGCCGGGGAGCAGGGTCCCCTATGCTGAGGCAGCGAGGGGCGGTGGGCGGAGCGCAGGAGCGTGGGGGAGGCGGGTCGGCCCTACCCAGCGGGGGCGAGGAGGGCTCGGTGGCCATGGAGCTCTCGCTCAGGGCGGAGTTGCTCTGCTCCAGCGGCCTCTTGCGCAGGGAGCTGTCAGGGACGCTGGAGCTGGGCGGGTGCCGCTTCTTGTTCTTCACCAAGATTCGGCCCATCAGGTCCTGGGGGCTGGGCAGGGGGACGCCCGGGGCCAGCTGGCGGACATGCACAAGTTAGAGCCCACCGGGGAGCCCTCGCCCCACACCCGCCCGGCCCCGGAGGCCCCGTACTGGGTATTTGTCCAGGGGGTCGATGAGCAGCGCGTCCCCAAAGATGGTGCGGCAGTACTCGGCCATCTTGGCCTGCTGCTTGGCCCTGTGAGGCCGAGGTCAGAGGTCAGAGGTTCCCGGGGTAGAGCTGAGGCTGGCGGGGCAGGTCAGAGGCCCACTGGGTCAGTGGAAGGGCCCAGGGTCGGAGGTCACGGGAGCGGTCCGACGTGGGGGGAGCATCTCCGGGGCCGGGGTCCCCCCCATGCACTAAAGGCTCCCGGAAGAGGTGTCTGGGTCACGGGGCGCCCAGCTCAGGGCCCACTCACGAGTCCACGTGGTTCTCAAAGGAGAGGATGACGGGGTAGGGCGATGTTTTGAAGGCGGACTCGGCGATGGCCTCCAGCACGTCGCGCAGCGGCACCTCGGTGGTCATGGTGAAGCCGTGGGTGATGAAGGGCTCCTCCTCGGGCGGCCGCCCTTTCCACACGTCCAGCTCCACGCAGCGGCAGCCCCACAGCAGCACCTGCCGGTAGATCTCCACCGACGAGGTCCCCGTCAGCTGCCCAGCTGGGGGTGAGGCTCCGTCACCGGCCGCCCTGGCCTGCGGGCTCCGCCCCGCCCCCCAGGCCCGCGGCAAACCAGGCCACGCTGGGACAGGCCCTGGCGGCAGGCGGCCCTGTTCTGTCTGGCCGGCCCCTGGTGACGCCCGAGTTCACTGGAACCAGCACCATCCCTCCCCAGCATCCCCAGGGCGGGGCCCACATCCCACCACCCAGCCCCCGGTGCCCACTCAGGCCGGCACAGGCGGGGTCCGCAATGCCAGCCGGCAGCTTGGCCCCCAGGACTCAGCCTGCTGCTGATGGATAAAGACCCCCCAGACCGACCCGAATCGGGGCCACCATCCCCAACACCCCCACGGTCCCTCACTGCCCCTCCCCCTCGGCCACTGCTGCCATGAGACGGCCTCCGTCTCCTCCCGCTGGGGACCCAAGGCCCCAAACAGCTTGCCAGCCAATCTCCGCAGAGCACCTAGCGTCATCCTTCCAAAAACAGACCAAGTCACGACACCACCCCTGCTCGAGAGCTCCCCCAAAAGCCCTTCTCACCCACCAGGCGTCTCGTGAGCACACCCTGGGCCTGGGGGGTCTAGCCTGCCTCCTCCCCAACCCTCCCCCACCCCCCACCTCCCAGCTCCTTGCTCCTGAGCACACCAAGGTCCATGCTGAGAAGACCCAGGCCCCGGAGGGCCCCTGGCGGCACCCCCTGCACCGGACAACGCTACGGGAGGGGGTCAGTGCAAGGCCGGAGGTCTCGGGGGTCCCCCCCCGCCGGCTCACCCGTGAGATAGGTGTTGTGGGAGGAGTTGATGAAGTAGGCGCTCAGCGGCTGGCTCATGTCTGCACTCAGGTCCAGGGCCTCCAGGGGCAGGATGCCGTTCTCCTCGCCCCCCAGGTAGCGGCTGAAGCCCTCCATGGACATCTGATCTGGGGGTGCGGTGGGGTCAGCAGGGGCCTCCCCGCTGTCCCCGCTGCCGGCCTGCTGCAGCCCACTCACCTCGCTCCAGGAACTGCTTGTTGGGCTCGTACTTCTCGATGAGCAGCCGGGCCTGGGAGGGCCGCAGTGGTGGGTACAGCACTTCGTTGAGCCGCGGGTCCCTCTGCTTCTGGTTGATGAAGTCCATGAGCTGCTCCAGCGTCAGGTACGGCTTGCCCTTGGCACCGCTGAAGGTGGGAAGCCGGGTCAGCCTCCTGGGCTACCATTCCAAGCCCTCACCTGGGAGTCAGAACGCCTGCACCTGGCTCCCGCACCGCTGACCGGCACTTGGGCAAATCTGTCTCTGGGCCTCGGTTTCTCGGGCTCTCCTCACCCCGCAGCACTGGCACTGGCTAGCAAGTGGCCCGGATGCTTGGCCTGCCGTCCTGCTCCCCGATCTTGGACCCAACCTCATCTGTAGCCCTCGCTTGCAGACTGAGCTCATGCCAAACCCATAAAATCTCCGAGCCCCTCGGAGATGTCCCCCTGCACTGGGCTGGAGAAAGTGACACCTCCAGCTCCGGGCAGCTCCGGGCAGGTGGCTCTGAGCTGGGAACAGTGCTTGCACGCCAGGATCCCCAGTAGCTCCCCTCCCCCCACGGAAGAGGCCAGCTTCTCTAGGGGCTCAGGCGGGGTGCAGTGGAAGCCACCCCCACTCACATCTCTAGCAGGATCTTGTCAATGTCTGGCCGCAGACACAACTTGTTCAAGAACCGTTCAAAGATCTCCAAGGTAAATCCATCAGGCCGAATGGCCTCGCTCTGCGGACAAAGGAAAACGGGGTAAAACCCAAGGAGAGAAGTCCCCCCACGGCACCCCACTGTGCCCCCAGACCACTCACTCGGTTGAAATTGAGGCCACAGGATTCCAGTGCCGTCTCTACTCGCTTCTTGTCTGCCGAAAACATCTTCAGGATGCTGAAGAGGCGGGGGGGCGGGGGGACCAGGGTCAGTGGGGGCAAAGGTCAGCAAGGTCTGGGCAGAGGGGAAGGGTGCTCACTTCTTGACAGGGATGCGTCCGTCCTGGTTCACCTGCAGCTTCAGCTTCGTGTATCTGGGGACGTAGGACGTAGGTGTGATGGTCACGTCCGCAAGGCCGACTCCAATCCTTCCCGCCCCCGCCCCTGCCAACAGGCCCACGGCTCACGCTTTGCGCAGAAAGGTGTTCCGGGAGGCGTTCTGAGCCAGGATGTTCATCGCCAGTTTGAACAGCTCTTCAGACCAGACCTGAGGGGTCAGGGCGCAGGGAGGGCGTGAGCAGGGGACAAGGGGGCCGCCAGCCACAGCCCACACCCAGCACCGACTGGTACAGCAAATGTTTAAAAATGCTTTGTCACAGGATGTCAGAACAAGATGGCAGTCAGGCCATGCCTATCGGGCACGTCGGCGAAGATTCCAGAGCCACGCCCCTGCCTCCCCCTCTCCACCAGCTAGACGGCACCAGCCCACCTTCGCAGTGTCATCTTGCACGGCCATGAAGTTCAAGAATGTTATGTTAACTGGGTCTGGCCCGGCCACCACCGTCATCAGTTTCTCCTCCAGCCGGGCCTCGGGGCCCCCAAAGCCCAGCACCTCCCGGATCTTGGGATCCTAAGTTAGTGAGAACTCAGAGTGAGAAGGGGTGTCCCCGCCCACCCTGGCCTCACCCAGGTCCTCAGCCTACGCCCATCACTCACTTACCTTGGGCAGGCGGGCATAACGGCCAGTCCGTGTGTCCCTGATGGAACTGATGTCCAGCGTGTCCACCTCCTTGAGGAAACCACACCAGAGTGGGACTGAGGCAACAGGGCAAGACCCAGGAGCCCCCAAACTCCCTCCCAGGCCAGGGAATGGCCGCCCCCTGCTGTAGCTCCAGCCTCAGCACCCCCAGAACACTTCCGGTCTAGAGAGCAGTGGGAGAGGTCAGTCAGCAGCCGGCCCCACCCACGTGTAAAGGCAGGGGATTCAGGGGTACAGGAGTGTCTGGCAGGCGCCTCAAAACTGAGCCAGCTGCTCCTGGGCCTGCCCTCACCATGTTGGGTCCTGTCCAGTACAAGAAGAAGCCATTGCTGTCCACACGCAAGGTCACCAGGTTCCGACTAGAGGTCTCCTGCAGACACACCACGGTCAGGAAATGAGAGCTACAGCCCAGGCTTGGTCCCAGAAACCCCTTCCACCATGCACCCCAATTTCTGACAGTAAGTGAAAATGAAGCCTCACCCAGCCCCCAGGTCCCTGGTGGCTCCCTTGTGTCCTCAGGACAAAGCTGAGGTCCTGGGTGACATTTGGGGTCACAGTGTCCTGGTGTCGACACCCCTCCCCCCAGTCTCACCTCTTGCCTAAAAATGTCACATGGACCAAGTCAGCCCTTTCCCTTCCAGTTTTCGCCTCTCGGGCCCTGTGTCAATGGGTCCTTTCCTGCTTTTTCTCTATCATGACGCCTCGGGAAAGCCCCTCTGGGCCCCGCTGGCACTTGGTTTCTCCAGAAGGCCTGAGAGCTCCCAGTGGCCCCCAGAAACAATTGTGGGACAGAAGCAGAGGGCTCAGACACCCCCACAGCCCTTTTGTGCTCTTCAGGCTCCCATGAAAACTGGTTATCCTTCACATCTGTCTCAAAGTCACCAGTCCCCACCCCGTACCGCACTGCACGCCCACAGCCTCATCGGTCACCCCACCTTACAGGCACAGACTGAGACCCTCAGAAGTGGACTCCCCTGCCTGGAGGGACCCGACAATGAGCCCCGCAGGCGTCCTTCAGTCAGCCCTGGGGCACCCCATTTTCTCAGTAGGCCCAGCCCCCAGCAAACTCCCAGGGCCACCCCAAGACACTCAGGACCAGCCGCCTAGACTCACCCAGGGCCTGAGTGACCCGCTGGCCACGGACAGAACTCCAGTCCCGGTAGAGGAACCCGCCTCACCTTGCTGTCACCCCAAACCGTGGCTCACTGGCTGGGGGGCAGTGGTTTCAGGGCACAGTGGCTCCCCGTCACACTGACCCACCTGCTAGGTGCTCACCACCCAGGGGCTCCCAGAGACCCCCACAGGACCCCAGGGTGTGTGCCCTCACCCTTCCCACGTTCCAGGCGAGGAAACTGAGACACAGACCAGACACTCCTATGTCCCGGGTCCCTGTCAGGCCCTCAGCTTCTGGTCTCAACCCCAGGTGGGACTTGTGGGGGGAGTCCAGCGCTCTCTGGCCAGACTCAGTTTCCTCTTCTGTTCCAGCCCCACCCATCTCAGGCTTTGCTTACAAAGGACGGGGAGGGTGACCCAGGAGAGGTGGGTCCACAGATACAGGAGACTCCAGAATTTGACGCTGGGTCCTGCCCACCTTACTGGGCTGACACCCACCCAAAGCCGCTCTCTGGGATTCCCAGCCCCACCCTGGGGCTCAGATCCCCCAGCTGTGTGAGGAGAGGGAGTGCCTGCAACTGGTTCCCAGGCCACCCCACAGCCCCTCTCCAGGGGTCCGGCCTTCAAAGGGAGCCAGGTCCCAGCAGGCGCTCTCCAGTCCCAAGTCCTTGTCAGGATCCCCCACCCCACCCCCAGGGCCCTCTCCCGACTCCCACTTCCTTATTTGGGTTTATCACACTGGTAGGAAAAGGAGAAACTTTTCCCTTCAGGCCAGCAGGGGGGGAGGGGTCTGCCTTGACCTCTGGGGCGCCCAAGCACCCCGAGTGGCACACCTGCTGCCTGCGGCCACGCCCCCAGCCCCTCCCCTAGTCCCACGCCTACCCGCCCCACCCAGGCGGAAAGGAGTCCAGCGTCTTCCAGGCCTCTGGCCCGACTGGGAAGGCTCGGAGATTAGGCTTTCGGGTGGAGGCCGTGCGGAGAGGGGCCCAGGGGGCAGAAGAGGGGGCACAGGGCAGGGCAGGGAGCTGCAGGTGGGAGCCATGACATCTGGGAAGCAACAAACAGGGCAGGTAAAGGGGGGAGGCAGGATTTATTGGGGTTCAAAGTCCCAATGCTAAGAAGTGTAGAGCAAAGTCCCCACGGGTGGAGAAACTTGGGGGGTGAAGACTCCAGTAAGGGGTGACCCGGTGCTCCCACCTGAGCAGGAAGCTCAGCCGAGATACAGGAGCAGGGCTAAGGGGGTGCCAGGCAGAAAGGGTGAAGAGGTGATGAATGGAGAAGAATGTTCAGGCCAGGGCACAGGGGAGGGGAGGGTCCCAATAGCACGCACTCAGAATGGGGCGCAATGAGGCAGACTGGGGACCAGGGTCCCCAAGTCAGATTGTTCCGTGCCCGCCAGGGGTCTGAGGACATGGCAAGGGCTGGGGGAACCAGAATTAGACCAGCAGGAAGGGTGCAAAGGGCGAGTGAACAAGGGGGCCCTGAATTTAAGGGGTGAAAGTCTCCGGGTCCAGGATTGGAAAGCCAAATTACCGGCAGCCGAGGGACGGGGGAGGGGGAAGCGGGGACGACCAAGTCTTCATTATGGGGACGACTGGGGACTCAAGTTTCGAGCAGCGCCTGCCTGGGATGGCGGGGGCGCCTGGGACAGCCCAGGCTGTGGCGGGGAGGTCCCCGGCGTCCGGCCGAGCCCGAGTGAGGGAGTCCGGCTTCTGGGCGGGGCAGGGGCCCCCGCGCTTACCTCGTCCCATTTGATGAACTTACTCCCGCGCCGCAGGGTCTCCGCCACGGTGGGCGGCTCCAGCTGCAGAGCGTGGACGCCCGGGCTGGCGCCCGCC